GCCCTTTTTTATGCTTATATAGGACTGTTATAAAATTTCACATACACGTAATTTGTTACATGTATTTTGTATTTTTTGTAATGACTTTCAAATGTGATAAAGGCACTCTCGCGACGTAAGATCACAATTGGCTTTATTATACCAAGGATACAAATTATTATTTTGTTTTATATTTGTCACGTGAATTACTTTTCTCCGATTCTTCATTTTCTTATAAATACTTAAAATTTTGGCAATTGCAAGTAATAATAATATAACTATTTCGTTTAGCTTTTTTGCCTTTTGTCTTTAATCATTCCGGAATTTCATTTACACTCTGCTCTCTCTGGTCTTTGCTCATAAGATCAGCAAAGGTATCGTAGGCTATATCTAAAACATATAATTTTTCTTTATTGACAATTGTACCTATCTTTAAAATATATAAGTTTAAAAGTTTATTCTGATTTCTAAACGCACATTTATATACGTACTTTAAATTTAGAGAGCACTAAAAAGACCATAAAAAGAGAGAAACAGACAAAAGACTACGCAGTTTGGGAATAACTTTATTTTACTTTAGACGGTAAAAGCAGTAACAGACTATTGCCGAGATGTGACTGGAATCCCAATTCAGTCTTAAATTAAATTGAAATAAACGCTTCTCTTTCGACTCTTTATGTTTCTTTAGTATAGGCTTTGAAATATGAGTTTTATTAGTTTGCTTATTGTGTCCATAATCATGAATTTAGAATTAGCTAAGTTAAATAACAAAAAGTTTCTAAATAAATATGTGTTCCTTTGGAATTTTTTTTGTAATTAGCGATGATTTCATCTTCAAACTTAAAAGTATGAGTATGCTACCTGCTTAAATATTTATACTGTGAAATATATAAAATAATGGGTCAAAGATAGACCCTTGGGGTACTCCATTTAGAACATAAAATTACAATTTAAAAAGGCTCAATTTATGTAGCTGGGTGCACATATTTCATAGATCATACAGGTTGCAGCACGTGCAACTCTACGTAACGTCACTTATTTAATGATAATTAATATAATATAATAAAGTCATAATAAGACCAATAAGACCGTCAACTTTGACATACCACTTTATAAATCACTTTGGACCCATTTTGATGATCAATTTCGAAACAAATATAAAAATATATCGATACAACAAAATATATTAACATAAAGGAACGGAAATTGACTTAGTTGATAATATTGATAAACGCAAAGTTTATGTTTCTCAAGAAAAAAAAACAGATATACCATTCCTTTACCGCGTGGAAGAAAACGTATTTAAAAGATATACTTCAGTGTAAGAAATAACCGTGAAGAAAAAAAACCTGTGCGTCCAGTCTGGCTGCCCCTGACCACGCAAGCGGTCACGTCCTGGCTGCTAGGAGGTGGTGTCACTTGTTTGGACTCCAGCTTTTTTGAGAAGCATTTTCTGTGGGATAAGGAAAAAAATCAAATTCTCATTTCGCATCACTCCTGGAAGAAAGGCTTTATTTTTACTACCTTACATAACGTCCAAAAGTAGGTACTAATCAAACATGATGCTTTTATTAAAAATCGTAGTTCATGTAAACTACTTAAAATCGTCTGCAAAAAAATTATCAACAAGCCTAATTTGTTACGGTTCATTATACTTCTCTAATTGATAGTATAAAAAAACAGTAAATTACAAAAAATCCTGTTACGCCTCTATTCCACGAATTAAATGCGAATATTTTAGTTTTTGAGATCAGGTAATTGATATGGTTTTGGATTCCCTTCGGGGTAGGTAGATACTAACTATCGCCACTTAGTACTTTACAAACCTGCCAAACCTCTCTTGCTTTACGTACATCCAGCAATATTTTCATGCAAGCACACTTATTCTAGTCACTACACACTCCAATCTTCTTAAGAATACCCTCGATTTGATCTGAAAATGTTCTTTCCCCATGTAGCCTACCACGTTATTCGTGATTCACACTATTGAAGTGCCTGATTTGTACTGCATTCACTCTCGTGCGTTTTCTGTCGTACTCAATACTCAGTTCCATATATCATAATATTATAATATTACCATATTGGAACCAACACGTCATCATGCAACGCCATTCGTGCCTTCTAAAATATAAATGGACTATCTGTATTTATGACCCCGTTCACTGGATGGCCCTTTTTACTCTATTTTCAATGTCTTTCTTACGTTAACCATTTTTTGTAACCACACATTTCAGATGCATCTTCAGACTATCCCCGCCAGTAGCAACATCTTAGTGGGATTTTGTGGAATGAAGCATTCTGCAATTTATACAATTTCTAATTTTCTGTTCAACCATTCTGTCTTTCAAAAACCATTTCTTTATATTTTTTCACACTAATTCCTTTTTTTTCGAATGATCCGTATGTTAAATCCATCATCTCTAAAAAATCTTTCTTTTGTTCTTGATCATATGAAAAGCATTTAATGATGGATTTACTCATTTGTTTTTTAGTTTGTCAGACAGTCGTCCATGAACTGTAGACATTGAGAGATACCGAACCAATCAGCACATGCTGCGTTTATCTCAACATAAACCCTTGAATCCTCGTAGAGTGACTTAAGCGCACTCACTAATTGACTACCCAATCCGAACCTAGACAAAAGTGACCACATTTACTTTTCGCATCACCCGATCGCAAACCTTCTCTATTGGTGTCATGTGTTTGTCTGACATTGTTATATTGTATTCTAGTTTTAATTTATTTAAACGTCTATATAGATGATATAACCTGTAATGTAAGTCTAATGTAATTACTCCGTCTACAATAATGGGTTTTGCACGGGAAAACTAAATAGGTAGTTAATACACTAAACATTGTTTTATATGATTTTTATTTGCAATAAGT